GTCAAAATTTCTGCGTATGAAAAATCCATTACCAGAATCTTGATGAAGGAGCAAAGAAATAAAGAAACAATTAGAGTACTGCATGCTCTAATACATATCAAGCAACTTTCGTTTGAAATATTATTTTACATAACAAGAAGATTTCAAAAAGTTCAAGTGATAGAGTCGCTTGACTCACTCTGTACAGCAATCATATGCATGATAACAACCAAGAAAGAATAACGAACGAAAAATAGAGTAAAACGAATAACCAAAAATTCTTCGCGTTTAATAGCAATTAAATAAGTTCATATAACAAGAGCAATAAAGTGCTTCGATCTCTTCAAAATTTAAGTGGAACGTAGCAAGAAAGTTTCGTACATAAACGCGTTTCAGTTACAAGTAGTTGAAGAGGAAGTGACGAACAGAAGCTTTGCCAATTAGGAACTCTGTTTTCTACCTTTTTTCCATGTTCCCACTTGGAATATTCTGACTAACGACTGCTGTCTAATAGATACTGATGCCGGCAAGAAAGACTGGACAAATACCCGAAACCAGAGGAAATTAGATCACCTTTTAAACATGAAGACTTTTTCGAAATGCTCCTGCGGTTCTTACAGACGGCCAGGATTGATGACATGCTCTGAGGAAACATTCCCTCTCAAGGTTGCAAATACACTGTGCACCATTCAAAGGAGCTGGATCTTTAATTTTCTTTAATGACAGAGTGAGTGTTTGAAGTGTCTTTAAAAGTGAATACTGAGAAAGTCGAATTCAATATATTTCAAGTAAAATGAAAAGATTTCTTTCAATAAGAGGTACGCTATAAGTGGCAATAAGAGTAAAACAGTATCTGCAATTTCCTTTCGTAATTTAAAGAGACCATTACTTTTAGAAGACAGTACCGGAAAAGGAGCAGACAAAATTTTGTGGATTATTACTTAGCAACTTCATACTTTATATGCAATCAAAATTTCAAAATGTCGCCGACAGGAATCGATTACTTGGCAACAGTATCTATTAACATTTATCATCTGAACCAGAATTCCACAGAATCTTCAGATTATTGATTTCTAACATTACCTGACAGCAATATCATTTTAATACTAGTGCTACAACGCATATTGCAAAATAGTTCATTAATTTAAAACTAATATCAGAAAAGAAACAGAACAGGAATAGAAATTGGACAACAGAAAAAATGAGATCGAGAAACTCGAAACTGCAGGTACAAAACTAGGTAGGAAATAGAATTCGTTCTAGATCTCCAAGTGCTCGATACTTCAACCAGCGCAATTAAAGACCGTCACAATGACTATTATGTCCGCATGTCTGCACTACTCACTATTTTCTCCCTAAAATGAGAAAGAGATTCTCGGTCACTTTTTACAGTATTCAGAACTTTGGAATAAAAGCATACTGGAACGTGACACGTAAATTGATCTACGAATTGATAGTAACAGCACATCTCGTACTGTACGTTGAAAATTTTTTTTAAATATTTCAACACTATATTCTATGTTTCTAAACCGAATTAATCGTTATATGCTTATTATGCTAACGTTTTCTAACATTCTGTCGAACCATGGAACATATTTCGAAGAAGTTATGTGAAAATTATCCTGTCGTATCGAACCACATGCATCCATTAGAATAGACTTCGTTAACCGGCTGTTATTAGATCGTAGACAGCGATTGCAGTGCGCAGCTATCGTCGAACTGTTTCACTTATTCTGCCTGACTACGTGACCCAGGCTCCACTCCTCGAACGCGTATCGTTTGCAAAGACCATGGAATACAGCGTGCGTGTATAACAGATTTACCTTAATCAAAGCTTGTTAATCAGCGCGATAACAACTTCTAGGAAACGTGCTTACGAATTCTGGTCATTACAAGCTAATCTCCCAGGTTGTACAATCATTGGCTCATTGTGCAGCAATGAAAGATGCGAACATACTTTCGTTAATTAACTATCCTTTTTGGCACAGAACAAGGATAATCAAGAAAGGGTGAGAAGAACACGATAAAGTCCTGAGAGATTTCGCGTGCCAAAATATATCTTGAATTCATAGGTGTCTATGCTTAATTAATCCGCCGCCCATTCAAACGTATCCATCCACAAATATCCGCGTAGCTGCGCGTTTGTTGCAAATTTTCATTCAACCACGCTCTCATTTCGATACAGTAATATAATTCCTCTGCCCTTCTTTCGCCATCGCATTGCACCCAACTCTGTACCCGTTCGTTCCTCCTTCGTGAATACGTTGAATGCTCGCTTTGCATCGTTAGCCAGCGATATTGCCGAGTTTTAGTATCAAATCGACTTTACTTGAGATATTATTAAAAACGAACTTCTTTCCGTGTTTCGTTTTGTCATTGTGCGTGGTACGTCAAATTTCCTTTGAATTTCTTCCTCAATTCTAATTCTCCTTGCATTTTCGACATTAATGTAGCCTCATTTCTTACTCATTTCGACATTCATTCTTTGCTCCTTTCCATTTCCCCGATTATTTTTGAAATTTTTTGGTTTCATAATTTCTTCCTAAGATATTCAATTTCGTTCTACTTTCACCAAACGCCTCACTCCTCTCTTTGTCTCTTTCTCCCTCTAGCACCAAAATTATATTTAATGCGGCATTTATACGAATTTCTTAACTCAATTAACCAATGATAATTTCTGCTTCCGACCATAGAAATTAATATTTTGCATATCTGTAAAGGACGCAATACACTTGAGAATGTAGCATAATTTCTTTACATTAGCATGTATTTTTACTCATGCTACAATTATTATTTTGTGCGTTACTTTTATTATTACTAATAAAATAATCAAGATCTGTATCTCTTCTAATTGTACCGTCCGTAACAATTTTGGAAAAATACAGTGCGAAGCTGGGGAACGCGACAGTTGTCTTAATTAACCCGTTACGGAAGAACGGTACCATGATATTACCGCAAACTTATGACTCCCTTCCTTCTGCATAGTGCACACTAGTATACACCATGAAATTTTAACTTTATTGTTCAGCCTGCGGCTAAAAGATACGAAAGAATTAAACGGAGCACGGAGTACAGAGTGCTGTAATATTCATGATGGCAGCTTATAATTAATGAAGAAACAGTGAACCTTTTGAAAAAAATTTATTTCTTTGAACACTTTCCACTGAGAAACGACAAACGCTTTTAATTTTCGTTACCTTAAACGATGTCGACGATTATTGGATTTTAGTTGAAATTTAACACGGTTGTGATATTAAATATGTGATGTGGAACGCACTTAGCTCCATGCTAATTCAGAATAGAAATGTTAATAGCGAACGTGGATGCATAAACCTTTGTGTGATTTTAATTTAATTCAATGAAGGAAGCATCTAATTAAATTGAAAATATGGAATATTCATATCTTTAGTCAACGCTGCTTCCGTTCTAAATAGTATACTGTACCTCATACTTGAAGCCAAGTAATGAAGATCGCATTATTCACAGATTTTTACTTATGAGAAAGCAATGAGTGAGGAAGAAAAAAATAATATGAGAATATCAAAGATGACTATATCTTAACGAAACACGATGTAATAAAATAATTAACATTTCATTAAAATAAATTTCATTATGATAAACCACATTTCGTTAGAAATATTCCCAGAGTATTCGATTAATTATGAACTATATCAAACATTCAAAACTTATATACATTACGATTGTTACACGTCACTCCCTCCTCATTAAATTCCAGAAAAATTGGAATTTTCGTTCTCTTTTCCATTTCTTTCCAATTTCCGTACTCATGCGCAAAAATATACACATAGTTATCTTCGATGAAAAATAATATACAACGTAGTTCAGAGTGGAATGAACATGTTCATCTCCCGAGATTGGAAGAACTCATATATCTCGGTTGGATATGCGTGAAAGCATACATATTTCTCTATGCGCAGAAAGCAGGCCTACGAAACAACACTGGCCACGTTGTTGGATTGAAATATCGATTCGAAGTCTCGATGGTCCTGTATTGTACCAGTCAGAATGGAAAACCTGTTGATTTTATGAAGAACGCATTCGAAGGAACAGTAAATTCGATGGCGCTTCATTTTCGACCATTGAAATATCGAGTATGTTATTTAAAGGATAGAGAAATAAGTGGACACATTATGAGAAATGGAACGATGTTTCTTCTTGTCAATCGATTATTCTAACAATGAAGTTCATCAAATTAGTTCTGCTAAAATTTCGTGTAATTTTTGATATCTATAAATTGATTGCAATAAAAATAACAATCTTCTTTATAGGCTCAAAAGAAACGAAACTTGAAATAAAATAAAATTAGAACTTGAATATGGTGTGTAATTCTATCAGCGTATCCGTAATCACTTTGTGTGCATGAATCAATATCGATAATATTAGACATCTATATATCACTAATATCTATTTATCTATTCTATTAATTGGATAAGTAATATTCAACCATAAATTGTAAAAGAAAATTTACTCAAACTGTTAAGTTTTTAGACAAAACCCTCATTTATGGGACATATAATTTAGGTAATTATTAGGTACACGTGGAAATTACATGAATCATATGTTTGCTTTTCTCTACACACTCGCGCGGTACCTATAATCCACGTAGGAATATATTAATATTATTATAGAAAGTTGTACCACATTAAAGTATGATACATAATGTTTCTGATTTTAGTGCAGCTGTATCGAAAAGATTCGAAAGTAACTTATCTTATCTGGAAGCTAGTACTGCAGTTGCTTTTCAACCCCTTGTACCCCTTCGCTCTCGTTTCACCCTGTTTCCCACAAAAGCTTTTAAAGCTGCCTATGCCCATGGGTGAACTGGTTATGCAGCTCTCACAATAATAACTCGAAATCTTTGTCGATCAATTCATTATCCAACGACACACGACACTTAGGACTGAAACAAAGCAACATTTTCGAATCAATCCATGTAGATTTCATGACCACGATAATAAAACTTCATTCAATAAAAGAACGCTGTTAAATTTATTTTTCAGACTCAAATTTGCCCAGGTTCGCTGACGAAATCCAGAATGTGACCGTAAGAAGGGGTAGAGACGCTATGTTAGCCTGTGTAGTCGACAATCTACAATCTCACAAGGTAGGGAGCCATTTTGTTATACAATTTTGTAACAGTATACCATGAAGATTTCTACTTAATTTAAACCGCTTGCGATTTAAATCTCATTCGTCGCTTATTTTCACCTAGTTCATAATAAAAACCGTGCTTGGAAACGCCAACAAAATTTAATTCTGTTTTCACATTTTTCTATTCAATAATGTATCAACATTGACATATTTTTGAACAAATTAAATTAAAAGGATTATACACTATATATAAAATATACGGAAAATTCGAATGCAACATAATATAGAATCCAACTGAATATAGGACCACAATGTATTAAATCCTTTCACTATAATAAAATAATTCGATAATCACGTTTTTAAAACTAACTATTAACATTAAACCTTTGATACAAAACATAATAAACGAAATTATCTAATTTTGTTAAGAAAATTGTGTCAATTATATCGTTAACCTGTTTAGTACGTTTTAAGTATTACGTTTAAAGAGCTCTTTTAGCCATCCAGTTTCGAAATTACGGTGCTCCATTTTCGCAACAGAAAATTGCGCTGAAAGAACGTGACTTTTAAAAACAAGACTAAAGTAGTTTTATTAAGGGCATTTCGCCCGTCTAAAGCGTAACTGGGAAAACAATAATTTTCATCTAATGACGACATTTTTTGAGGAAAATCTCAACAGAGACGTGTGACTTTCATGTACGACAAAACGAGGTAAAATTGAGTCTACTACCATGCAATTATAAGATTCTCAAAATCTCCATTACTGAAACATTTTGACTACATCAAAATTTGTGAAAGCAAGAGATTTTAATTACAGTTTGAACAATTTCCTTCAGCATTTAGGATACCATATAGCAAATAATTAGTAAACAACTTTTACGAAAATATGAAAACGAAATTAAAGCAAGGAATTGAGAATAGAGTACAAATGCTCATATTCCCTTTTTCGCGTAAGAGTAAAGTTAATATTTCGGAATGGATTAGCTTGTATGGTTTTCTTGATTTTATTCTCGCAAAGTATTATTCTTAACAATATGAAAAGTACTTATTGAGATGAAAAATGCTGTATCGTCTAATTAATTTACTTTCGTTCATAGGATTAACTAAATTATATAACTAGACACAAACTACACTTTCATTTTGGACGTCCAAAATATATATTTTAATTTGGCAAACAAATAAAATTAGAGCTATATTTTGTATAGAAGTAAATAAATAGCATAAAAATAAATTTATATACCGTGTGGAAATTACTGATCTAATTAGATCGTGAAACTTCATTAAACATTCTAAAAATAATTTATATTTATGAATATGCTAAAATTTATAGGCACGTAATAAAACTTAGATTAATATCATTATGATTAAAAATGTTTACCAATTTATATTCATCAAAATTATTGTTTACACAAACGAAACATATTTTTCAAGGAAATTGTCATACCATTTCTATTTTTATCTACAATTTCATTGCTTTTCATGCACAATAGTTCTGACAAATGTATATTAGTTCTTTTAAACTGAATATCAGTCCAATCAAAATTGTCACACAGCTTATCCAACAAATGAAATATATGTGAAATATATGTTTACTTATACCTGTAAAAATACATGAAACCAGAAAAACAAACGACGTTAGTCCCGTAAAAAGTTACGCGACCATATTTATTTCACAGGGGTAACACAACTGGCACGTCAGTCAATTGAATCTAAAAACGCCTCACATTATCTCCCTTCTAATCCCTTATCTCATACCCCTTCTACATACGAAAAATACATACAAGTCGGCGAATAAACGAGCATTAAATTTTGAATGATCGAAATGAAAACGTGACAAATATTATAACGGAATCGTATAGTGTTCAATACAAAAAACCTGAAGTTAAAAAATGTCTAACTTTTTTTTAAACAAATTATAAATTTAACAAAGGGATAATGTCGAAATAAAATATGCAAAGATACATTTCTGAATAAAATATATAAAATTAGATTTCAGTAACATAAGTGCAATAATTTTATGATTCCATTATTCAGATTATCTAAGAGCTCACTACTCATTACTCATTACTGTCATACTTCACGGTCCATTACAAATCCACCTTTCCCACCCTTTACTTTCTCAGAATCAAATTCAATAATTTCAATAATCCCCGAAAATAATCCAGTTCCTTCTCTTTGAAAAATACAACTCTTGGGTCAGAAGATATTGCTAATAGAATTGCATGCTGACTTCGAGGTTACAGTATCACGAGCTTACGAAATATCTACTCTTACTTGAGATATAATATAATTGAAGCATGTCCTGCAATTTGGAGAAATTTTCTTTTTCAATACCCATACAGTAATTTCTACATCTTGGCACCTAATTTTAACCTGCCCTACAGACCAAAGTATTAAACAAAGTCTCAATAAAAATACTACTTGTATATCATAAATACTTCCAAATTCAATCAAATAACCTTACAACGATAGACAAATAATCGGCTCGTGGAAGTTCGTTATTGAACAAAGCTTTTTTACGGTCTGCTTGATAATTTTGCATCCGAGGGCGACTAAGCATACCCAGGCCAGGACGGTGGTAATTCTAGCCGTGACTCGCAACAACGTCAACTTCAGCTGGCTGGCTCGTTCGTTACGCCAATGGAAATACATCACGGATAGTGTCACGTTGAATTATTAAGGTAATATGGTAACGACGCCAGTTCACACGATCCCTTCTTGGCCGATCCGGTGTATTCCGTACACCGTAAAGAAGCATCACGCCCGGCGCCAGCATCCTCTACCACCTTCCCAGCCATGATATTCCCCAGACGGGGCTACAGGGAACAGAAAACATGCTCCTCCGGAAAAATTATCGCCAGGCTGCTTCTTAATGCTACCGGAATACCATAATTCTGGGAATGAGATATCAAGTGAACGAAGAATTTGAGTAAAAGTACAAACAGTGTGGTCGGAATACAAATTTCTGCATTAAAGTTAATTAATTTATCAAAAGACAGATGTTCCAATGTTTCATTTCGTTCCCAATTATATTATCTTTTATTATTAACAACTTCCTATTTCTTCTTTCAAAATTAGGAAATTTTTAAAAGAAAGGAAATAAAATTAAATCAGAAAGAATTGCAAGACTATATCGAAATATGTTTCATTAACTTAACTATATTAGCTGCCTCTTATGGAAAACGTTACTCGCGTTAATACGTTTTAAACATGTCGATTAACATGAAATGAAAATAATTTATAATAAGAATAATTCGATATAATTCTTGCACGTTACCTTTTATTTCCTTTTTTGTAGCTAGATTCACCTCTTATAATACAATTACGGGTTACAATTTCTATAGCATGAATTTTAAACTACGCTGTATCTCATCTGTCAAAAAAGATCTTAAGTATGTTCTATTCGGCATTTCTTAACTTTTCCAGTATCAGAGTAACTCAGAAAACATTTGCACTATCGTCGCCATTTATTTATATTCTTTTACTCGTTAGTCATTCTCTCATGACTAACGTCCTTATCATTCCGCGACATCACAAGATCATAACTCTGAATTTAAAACAATAAAAGACAAATCATAAAAGTATTGTATTGTACTGTAATATATCCTTCGATGCCTATTTGTACACAGCAGCAATCATTTATATTTCATTTCGACGTCTATCTTTAAACGTAAGGCGATTTGCGTAACTCTCTTCTTATATTAAGAGATATGCAACAACGTAGTAAAGAGATTCATAAACTTTTAACGCGTTTTCATCTATCCTCGAGAATTCTTAGTCATACAAAAAAGCTTAGCGACGAAGGAAAGAAAATGCGGTAGATTCTGAGCCATCTTACATTTAGCCCTCTATACGCTGGATTCTGTGAAAGTTTCGAAGATCCAAGAAGGATATGGCATACAAGCCAACCGTTATATTGGATTAAGCGAGAAATAGGAACGAAACGATGTTGTATGGGGTTTCCAAAGCTCTGCAAAAGAAAACACCACGGATCAAATGGATCGAAAATAAACGCACGAGCAATTCTATGAGCGAATACCTTTAATTTATGCCTCCAAATATGAAAAATCAATCACATGAAACAAGAATATAGATATTTACAGCTTCGAATAATTTGACGAAATAAATTACGATATAACGATAATATTGGACTTCGGGGAACCGTAGTCATTTTGTAAAATTTTCCTTGCGAGAACGGTTATGAAGAAGCCAGGATAAAAAGGTTAAAACAGTTAGATGCCATTAAATCCTGATTTCCTTAGTAAAACCATAATCTAGTAAATGTTGTGCTAAAAAAGATACCAACGTCCTACTACCGAACAATATGGTAGAAAACTTCGTTAATCCTTTTCTCGATTTTCTTGAACTTTCACCATCGAACGAAGTAAAATTTCATTTTGAGATACACCAAGGAAAAGATTTTTCCCACATTATGCAGAAATTATGTTTAAGAAACATAACTAGAACATGCTAAAATATGTTATTACAATTAATATTTATCAAGTACGAGATAATATAACGAGGTATACATACATGTATAAAATGTAATCTTATTACAACTAACAACGCAATCGAATGTTAATAACCAAGTACACGTAGTATGAGTGCAGGAAATTAACCTATTACCTTACGACTTAAGTATCGATGGTCACGTCATAATCAATAACGAAGTCGGTCACACGTCGGGTCGTTTCAAGAATAAACACGCAAGAAAGGCTGAAAGACATCGACGAAAATTAACCAGGAGTCTGACCAGTGTTGCTTACATTGGGCTCTATAGCTAGAAACCACGCCCCTCATTTGAAGTCTCACACGATATTGTAAGCGAAGGAGTTAAAGCACGAAGGCAATCAGATAAATACACAAAATTATATCACAAGACGATATTTAGTAAAATATGTATAATTCTCAAAAAAGACCAAATTTTTATATGGTTCTTTGTGTATGTATATTTTACTTTCATCGGTATTTTCTGCAATTTATGGAAAAAAATTTAAACAAATTTTGATTAACATACGCCATTACGTTACAACGTCTCTTATACTGGCAATCAGTAATTGTGCGAGAACTGTATAAAGCGTTCCCGATGCATTTGCGTTAACCATGTATGATTATTGGATACAAAATTTGTTAGACAACGTACACGATATACGGTAACACGAACTGCATGAAGTAATATCTTTTCCTGCCTGTTCAACCGTATACTTGCTACACTACCTTTGGTAAAATATATTAAATTTCTTTTTCTTTATTTTATATTTAATCCACAAATTTTACATAGCATGGAAAATTTTTTTAAGTAGAATAGGAACATCTAACTCTGAAAATATTTTTATCTTTCATATTCAAAGACAAGAATTGTGCCATTCTTGAGTATTTTTTAAGTATCCTCATACTTTTAGTAGAATAATGAATACGCGTTAAATTATTAGTATATAAAGACTGCTAAAAACTTAATGGAATCAAGAAAAATGATTAAAAGTGACATTTAAATATCTCTTGCGAGAAAATTTTTTAATAACCTAAGTAATGAAGCTGATATTCAAGTGACGAAGATAAATGGTTTTCCTTATAAAGTATGTATAACTTCCCACGAGTTTACTTCCATTAGGAGCTTCCATTTTTCGCGCTATCCAACAAAATGTTAAATGTTAAGTATTGCACAAATTGGATGGAAATATAATGAGATAATTATTGTACTACTCCATGTTATAAAAATTACTTCGATTCATGAAATCTAAATTTGAGATATATTACTAATGATTTGCATTAAATAAATACTATTATATACACTGTTAAAAATTTATTATATAAGATACTGATATCTATCTTTTTAATTCATCAACATGTCCAAATTTGGTTTCAATCTAGCCTAGTATATTTCTGGCATGGGAGGCATTTCATATATTCACTCGTCTGACTTAATTTCTATATTTTTTCTCACTGAAAAGGAGTATTAAATATACTGTGATTATTGTACTATTTACTATTTGATTCATTAAGAAATTACTCAATTTCATTCGATTGTGAAATATTTCTTGTAGGACAAACTAATTTAACCGACCTGACGTGATACATTTTTCCAACAACTCTATTTTCTTATTAATTTCACTTGCATTAATTTTACTAGTACATGCATTTCATTAGCATTAACTTCACTAGTATTAGGAAAATAGGATATAATAAAACATTCACTTTCACTTTCTCATGAAAAATAAAATCCATCGATTACATTTAATAATCTTAAAAATTTCTATTGAAATGCTAAAATTAAAAACTTAAAACGGAAAAAGAATTGGAAAGTAAAACTACAGTACTTCCATTAAATGATTTTTTGCTTTTTTTTCTTTTCATTAATATAATACTTCATGGCAGTTACGCAGTCATGAAAGAGACTAACATGTATACCTCATCCTTATAGTAATATACAAAGATAACAGTATTATCCTAAGCAAACACATAGCACGTGTCTACGCATGTCTGTTTCAGGTGGCATGGGTGCGCGTCGATACACAGACTATCTTGACCATCCACCATAAAGTCATCACACAAAATCCACGGATCTCGTTGAAGTACAATGACCATCGCACATGGTACCTTCACATAAAGGAGGTTGAAGAGGTGGATCGTGGGTGGTATATGTGTCAGGTGAACACAGAGCCGATGAGGAGCCGACAAGGCTACCTGGATGTTGTAGGTAAGCTCGTTATTACATCTTGACGTTACTAGAATTCATAAGATGCTTGTGAAATATGGTTTTCTTGATTAAAAAAATTCTATTTTAAAAGAAGCTTCTGTTGCACACAAAGAATAACACATTTTGCCAAAACGACAAGAAGAAGATATTTGAAAAGCAAAAACTTTAATTCTTTGATTGTCACTTGAAACGCTATTTTAACGTAATAAATTTCTAAAAAGGAGATTCATTAGATTTCAGGAGTATAAAACTATATATTTATTAGTATTCAATTGATAACTCGTCAGTAACGAAACATTTAAACACCGTTAAAGCAATTAAGCGACCAGTATTAGTCAGCTCGATTCAGTTAGTCTTTGAAGCAATTAGATTTCCAGTTAGTTGTTAAACTGGGTTAGAAGTCATTAGGCTTCCGATATTCAATCAACAGCCGAAGTACACAGGTTTCCTTAAGATTAGCGAACAATTAGTCAAAAATTACAGTTCTAAGATGATAGCAATATTATTTATCACTTCGTAAAAAAAAACTGATTTCAAAGGAACACTATTTGAGTTTCGTGAATCGATTCTATCGTAATACAGATTTCTGATCGCTGAAAATAGAAACACTTTCATTTGCATCCCCCTTTTTAAAATTCAAAAACCTATTATTGTGATATTAATAGGAAGATACGTAATATTTTGAAACATAACAAATTATCAAGATTGAAGATTACCTCTACTAATTATTATTGATATGAACGACGTTGTGAGAATTAAAAATTGGAAGAAGCTTAACTCTTTGCAAACGCAAAGTAAAGATGACGTCGCATGCAACATAAAATAAACCACTGAAGATAATAAATTGACAAAAATTCTGTTAATTAATCGTGCGTCATATGGTGTATTATAATTAACAAGATTGCGAATATTTTGTGAATTGTTATATATTTCTTACAACACAAACATAATTTCATTCAAATATCGACACAAACGATTAATAACACCAACTCATATTTCACTTATCGGAGCCAAATATCAAGACGAAGCAGAAATGTTATCGATTTCAAGTGAATTATCGCTATCGATTTTGGTCGAGCCCATTTTAGAAACGACATCTAATTAACAGCAAATTTAGACTTTGCTCGGTCGGTTAAGCAAATTCTCGCTGGACAGAGTTTATCATTAATACCTCGTAGTTAAATAGCGACTCGGTCACGTGAGGGATCATTAATCCTGTTCATTGATCTAGAACCTGAAGTGTCGATTATAGGTAATTAATTCATAAAATAGTGGAATGATAATGCAAATATTACCATATGTACAACCGACACTGCTTCGATAAATTTATTTAACGATTTGCAAATATTTCCACCAGGTGCTTCCTTTAGAAAATGAGCCAACGAAACGAGTTTACTGTCACTAAGTTAATAATATGTGGCGAGATAGTAATTATATACAAGGCATTTGATCAAGAGTGTACGTAAAAATTAATTTCTTTGTAGGCAAGAAATCATTGTTTTGGAGTTCAAATAGCAAAGCGTAGGGTAAATCTTTTGCGATATATTAAGTGCATAAACGAACTTTCTGCACGTCAATACATGCAATTTTATATATAACGAAAACAAAAAAGAATTTGCGCTTTCTCTCCTTAAATAAGTTTTATTAACTATATTAGTTATAATGTTCCTCTCCATTATCGAAAATTACCGTTGAGTTACTAAAAAAAGTTTTTACTAGTTATTGGTACAGAATAAACATTCATTGGAAAAATTTTGAAACGTCTCCATTTCCATAAAAAAAAAGTTTCATTTTAAAATTTTCCCATTTTCCGTTGGGAATATTCACAATTTATGTGGAATAATGAGAAAGTTCGCTATTCGCTTTTCATGAATAGCATAATATCGCGTGTAAATTGAAGTATGTCCGAAAAAATACGTGAATATCTATTATACTATTTACTATATTATATAATAGTATTTATTTCGATTTTTATAGCACGATAAATTTGGAAAGTGACAAAACTTATTTTGTAGAAAAGAATTAGAAATTTCTGAAGTAATACGAATGTTCAAACACTCAAGACGAATAATATCGATTCATGTTTAATCAGAAACGTTAAAACAAGCTAGTAAGGAGTAAAAGATTTCGAAGTTCGTTAAGCTGTACAAGTTTATACACTGAAAGGGACTCTATTGAATTAACATTGATCCCACATGACATAGGACTAAAGTACTTACTTACAAAAACTCAATCACTTTGCGAAGTGTACAGAACGATTACTCACTCGAATTTCGCACGTTTTCTTCATTGCAGTGTCGCCCTCCATTCGCACGAAGGAAACCAGCACAGATATGGTCGTCCGCGAAGGTTTGAATGTAATACTGACATGTAAAGCTTCCGGATATCCAGAACCTTACATCATGTGGCGCAGGGAAGATGGAAAGGACATAAGTTACAACGGGGAAACCGGTGAGTTTTTATCAGCAATTTCTTCCTGAATTTAATTATCGTCCACATACAATTTACACTTCTAAAAATCTGAAAATAATTTTATCTGTTAACTAACTCGAACTCACTCGGCCCCAGATATTTTTTAAGTAAAGTTGCATACATATGGAACGTAAAAATGATAAAGTTATTACCTCTACCAAGTGACTTTGTGGTTTTTCAAATGTTGTGATACAAAATAAAGTTATGAGGATTGAATTAAGCATTAGATGAATTTCTTTATTTTATTAGATGTTTCTTATAAGCTTATGGCATAAAAATATATTATTTTCTGAAATATATCAACGAAATTTTTAATAAACGATAGAAATTCATTACATATAGAAATATTAAAAATTTGTTTCTATATATATCATTTTAAATAATTTAAATTATAAAATATGATAATCATAATGTCGAATCGTAATTTCGAATGTTTTTGTGTTACACAAGGAGGATAGAAGTTAAATATCGATTATTTCGTTGCCATTTTAGTGATTAATTATTACCGAACTACTGGCTGGCAATTAAAACGAAATTATTCATGAATTCGGTATATCTGGCTCGTGTTGTGAAACTTTCGTGTGAAATGTATTCAAGAGTTGAATCGTCGTTTCCGGAAAGTTCCCAGTTCGACAATCGATAGCCACGCGGATACAACTAGCGCCACTTCACACATGATATCGCTTTTTCGGAAGCTGCACAAAAAGCAAACGACCGAAACGATCTTCCTTTTGTATGTCAAACTTGCTGAAAGATCATATTCACTTTAACCGTATTAAACTCTGACACTTAGCTACTTATTTTTCTCTATCCTTCATGCACCTTTCAAGAAACACGAAAATGAGCTGAAGCGAATGAAATATTTTCTCTAAAGATTATGTATTATTCCAAGAAAATTACACTTCATATTTGTGTCTTCTAATCTGCTAATCGTGGAAAATATACTACAAAATTACGCCTTCAATATCAGTACAGATCATGCAGTATTGATTTCAAGGCTATGATATTCGTCAGCTTAAATTAATTAATTTCATTAATAAATTTAATTTTTTAATTAGAGAAAAATTGTTAACCTTGATTGCTTGAAAGATTTGTGCTCGGAAAATTAATCACTGGATATTTACAATTAAATTATCAAAAATACTGATCTGCACATAATGAAATATAAGTAAAATCAAATGTTATTTAATACAGTACAGAAAATAAATTTAAAAATAATTGAGATATTTAATAATTTTGTGAAAATGTATAATTAAAATATGGGATATCACGAGATATTGAATGACATAAAATTGTAGTTCCAAAATTTGTGTAACCACGTAAGTGATTATATACACATTGCTCAAGTGCTAGACTACATTGAAGAATATAGTTTGATGTATAACACTTCGGAAGTTCTAGTTAGGAAACGTTACGCTTCGGACAGCAATTGAAATTTGTGCATTGTCTGACAAACAAGCTGTTCCGTAATTTCAGTAGCTAAATTGGGTCTAGAAGTTGCAATTTCCAGATCTGTTATTAATATATCAATAATAATAGAACTATCGTTTGAGAATCGATACCAGTATGGCAATTTTAGCTATAAGATCGATAGAAATCTGTCTCGTTTTAATCTACTGACAGGAAAAAGCGTGGAATGAAATTAAATAGTAAAGAATTAATTTAAGTTTTGACACGTTTGCGATGCTTCCAAATGAAAATAAATAATGAATTTTATATTGCCCATTACTCAAAATAATTAATTTCAATTAAGTCGACTAGACATAGACGGACAGGAAGGATATTATTTTTATACACACAAATATAGTTAAAACATTACCAAAATTATAATACTGAAGAGTTAGTGATGTTACTTGTGCAAGTACGCAAATATGCAAATTTATGAATACACTTAATCAAAATTATTATTAATTTTCTTATTACACCATGTCAGCCTCTTTTCAATCATCTGTGCTTGACTTGAAATTCATACATTGCATAATTAAAAGATAACTATATATAAACAAGTTTCATAATTAACAATACTCAACACTTTTGCCGAATAGAGTTCCATCATCAGTCAGATAACGCGTGTTCCGAGCGTGTCCCTAAAGTTTAAAGATCAATGATGCCCTGAGCAGTTCGACGCTTCTGTCGATAAGTCGAAAACTCTGGACACGCCATTTCGTGGCCTTAATCAATAAAATCCTACGAATCGATATCCCAGTGTCGTACTCGCAAAGAAAGCTTACGCCGAGGTATTTTCACGTAAAGGAAGGTTTGATCGCTGAACGTCGTAAATAATCGATCACCGTCTTATGGCGATCCTCTATTAAAAATAGCAAAGACATTTCAGCAAAGAGTCCCGAGGCAGAGGTCGCCCCGATCGATGCTAATTACTTTCTTAATTACTAATTATGAAAGGCGTGGGAAGCGCGATACCGCTCCAACTTTCATTCTCTCTGCTCTTCCTCATCCTGTCACGCCATCCCCTTTTCCTTCGTGTGTACGTACAGCCCTGCACCGCACGGACACACAAGGGAGGAAAGAGCAATGGGCAAAGATGTACAGGATAGCAGGACGTCAGACAGTCTGTCGGTTCCAAAGGATTTTCTCAATATCGGATAAAGGCCGGATTTAATTTCTGCTCTAATTTAAATTTTCATTGCCCTCGAGGCATACTCGGGTTCAGACGCTCAGACGAGGCTTTCGAAGCTTACGCCTCACCCTAACTCCGCCGTATAAACTGTTCTCTGATAAATATGTATGCGTTGAATCGTTGTGGCCCCGGATAAAAATGCTCCAGTTGTATTATATCATCGCCTGTTCAACGGCCATTAGCGGGTATGCAGGAATTAATGTAATTCGAAAGGAATGAATAGCCATTGACGCGAATGATATTTACTGTTTATCGTGTCCACGAAAGAACGGGGTTTCGATCGATGGTCGAGTGTCGTATGCCGGGGATGGAACGTGCAGAACATGGTGGTTGAATATTACAGAATAAGTCGATGTAGAAATGTTTCTATATCGAATTCGTCGATTTTATCCCATTCTAAGTTGCAGACGCGTTTATGCGATATACGAATATTGTAGTATCGTATGCTTAAGAACCCTAAGCGGAAAAGGATCATAAACCAGGAAGTGAATAGAGAGGATGAAAACTAGATACGTCGATGGGTCTGTAATATTTTCGAAAATCGGAGCCAGGACAGTTTTTAAGAACAATTAGGGAAAGCGAGGGACGATCCTTTTTCGAGAGTGTCATGCGAAGCCTCGTAGCGAGAAGTAGAAAGGAGTCACGAAAAAAATCCTATATAGTTGCTTTGCGTTGTCTTTTAGTTTTATATATATCACTGTTTAACCAACCACTTTCTTTGTAAAGAATCCTACATAATTTTGGAGACTCTTCCGGAATTGGCTACTATAATATTGTCTATGGAAATTTGCCGCTTATATTTGACTGTTATTGAAATGAAATTTAAATACTCGGATACGGAGAAACATCGATTAAATGAAAGAATAGAGGGACAAATTAGTTTTACTTTAGTTTTGCTAATCCAATTAGTTTTGGATTAGTTTTTGCTTAAATCGACGTTGAAAACGTGTCATAAAACGAAGAAGAAAGAAAACAATTTCGAGAGGAATATGCTCGTTGCATTTAAAAGCAAATGCAGTAAATGAAATATTGGAGACAAATTAATCGTTTCAAGAGACAGGGAAGTTTCGTGTTTCCTTCAGGGCGAATATTTGAAATGTTCGTGATTTATTGCTTCTTGTGCTCTTGCTCATCTCCATGCGAAATATCCAATGCATTTGCACCTTTACTGGGTAGAGTGATAGTGTATGAATCTGACATGTCTTCATCTATATACATATTCGTACTCGTTTCTTTCAACTAGAATAGATGGAACGATATCATCATCATTCATAATTTCAAACTCGGACAAGATACTGAAATAAATTTATCGCTGTATACGACACAATATAATTAGAAACGAACAAAAACAAGAAATTTTACTTACTGCATTGAGTTTTATAAAAACTAAAAGAAAGAAATTGAAAAAATATTAAAAAATTTATACATGAATCAACTCTTTTGACAGTTGCTCTTTTGATAATCCATATTGTTATTGCACACGAACAACCCGTATTTTTTATAGTAAAATGGAAGAAGGTAGAAAAACGCTCAGGAAATATTTTCAACGTTTATGAAGAATAAATTGTAGTTATTATAATCAAATGTTAACATAATAGAAATAAATGATTAAAAAATGTTTCGTTCACATGCTTATTGAGTTCATGTAATAGATTTACGTGTAAACTTTCCCGTTTACTTTATATTCTGCTAATTAATAGCTACATAAGTATCACAACGAATATCGTTCAATTAAGCTTCATACTCTACAATGTGGATAATCGTGGAAAAATTCTTACACCATGAATGTTACAAATCGCCCGAAGGGCTCACAGATCGAGGTGAACGTGTGAAATATGGCTCAGAATTCATGTAAACGCCAATCAATTTGCATACCTCGTTGAGCCATCAACGGCTGATTAGGAGATGATATCACTAGCCAATCGTATATCGGAGGTTATCCTTGGACACATATGTCGCTATATGAGCAGCACGTCATTTGATAGAAGCATCAGATTATCGGCGTAATTGGACAAAATATCATGGCTGTGAATACGGCACGCACACAAACCAACAGCTACTAACTGATGTGTTGCCCCTTTGGGACTCGAGAACCTCTCTCTAACGCCATTACCGGCCGTCTGATGGCTTCCATGCGCCTTCCACCTACGACGAAAGTATGCTCTTGACCGATGTCAGTTTCGTCTTACACCTGATCACCGGTATATTCAACTTATTCACGTTCAATTCAAATCTTTCGTAACTAATAACTATTCTAATTTCTAATAAGTAATTTCAGATAGTGGATCAATTCAAAAAATAGAAATGATAGAACCTATGGTCAACTATAATATACCAGTGA